ACCAACGCCATGTTATTTCCCCCGTGGCCCCTCCCTCCCTTATTGAGTTCAAGTTGGTTTGATTGGAGATCGGGCAGAGCAGTGCGTGTTATTTTTTGTGGCACGCCGACTGCGAACGAAAAGTTCCACGTAATTCATCTTTTTTCGAGACAAAGCCCTTGTCGTCCGAAATGGCAGCGGTGTTTGACTCGCCGGACCATTTCCCGGCGCCACCCTTGCCGCATGCATACCGTAACCCCGACGGCGTTTTTGCCTACACCGAAAAACAGTACATCCATGGGTGGACTTGGGGATCTGACCGCTTCCCTAACCTCCTGTACACCCCGATCTAATCCCAACCCGAGTATAACAGACTACATGATGCCCCCAGGTTAACCCTGGCGAAAACAATGTCACTGCAACAACCGAAAAGACCCTGCTGCGCCACCACCACCATACTAAGCAGGCTTGAAGCCTGAGGATAACCCCCCGGTCGATTCTCCCCGCCCTGCGACCTTCCTACGCTTGCCATGCCAATCCACCTTCACGTGCATGCCTCGTCACAGAGAAACCCACTCTCATCGACCGTACCCACTACCGCTAGCGCCTTCTAGCTCGACCGCGGTTTTGCCGCCGAGAGGGGCGGCCGGCACGCGTACCGGCTGCGTTTGCTGTGCGCGTCCTTGGCTACCCCGCCTGACTTGGCCTCCCGTCTTGTTCAGAGGGTGTGATTCCGACTGTGATGCCTGTATGTACAGCCCGTTCCCCGGCTAGTCCTCGATCGGTGGGCTGTACAGTACTGCCGCTACATGGCGTGTGTGCCTAACCGCAGCTGGGGGTGTTTTGGGTGTTGCCTGGACTCTTTCGTCTTCGGATTCGTGCTCTTTCGAGCTCGCGTTGATCGTTGCCGCCCCGTCCTAACTCCGACCCCATTCCGTGCGTTTGCCCCACCCCGCCCTGTTTCGGTGACGCCGCGTGTTTTTACTCCGCCCCCGTCCGGCCCTTTGCTGCTGTTGTTGCTGCTGCTGCTGCTGCTGCTGCTGCTGCTGCTGCCCGTTGTTTTGTTGCCCCCCCACCCCCCACCTCCCTGGTGCGTTTGGTTTGTTCCCCTCTTCCCCGATGCAAATAACGATCGACAATTGTGAAAACCGAAAAACGGGTCCCAACTCGATGGGCCATTTGTCACGTGCGTTGCCCAGGCGTAAGTCTTGACGGTGATGGATGACACCGCTGTTTCGGGCGACTAGTAGGTCCCGGCTGTTGGTGAGCAACGGCAGCGGTCCACGATCAGAGCGTGTTCGTGGCCGGGTAAATTTTGCCACGGGCCATGTTGGTTATGTCGTGCCCCAACAAGAGCTTGTCTGGGTGAAACAACGGGTCCATCCTCGATGAGACACCCATGTCCATGGTGTCAGTTTTGTCCAGCAGCCAGAAAAAGTCTGTTGTCAGCTGAGTGGCGGCACATGCTGAGTGCGTCTCGGAGTGAATCAATGGGCCCATCCTCGCTGAGGAGTTGACGTCCGCGTTACCCAGTTTGTTCCAGCAGGCAAAAGCAGTCTACTCTGAAGTTGAATGGCGGTGGTCGCCTACGTGTGTGGTGGATGGTCGCCTGGCCATTTTTGCTCAGTTGTGGAAGAACACCATTCCGTGCGGCCAAGTCCGGGTCTTGCCGTAGAGGCCAACGGCGAGAAAAGATGTCACAGGTAGCGTCTCGGTGTGCAAAGTCTCGCCAAGCTGCATATGAAAAGTGTCTGCTACCGCTGCGTGCTCGTTCCACTTTCATTCCATGTGATTACTTCGTGTCATGCGATGACGAGAGTAGGAAGGAGGGTGGCGGAGAAGGTAGAGCAGGGCCTCGAAAGCAGAAAGCTAAACGAAAGATCGTGGTTGGCTCGAAACGCTGTAGTTTGGTTCAGCATGCGGGTAGATATGGTGCCCGGTAGTTACAGAATGTATGATAGGTTTGAATTGCAAGTAATATTTCTTGCGCCGATCGGCATGAGGTGCAAAGCAAGACGTACTAGTTCACTTGCTGCACAAAATAACGTAGCCTATTTTGGACTGGTTTGGTGGTTGTTTTACGTACATGACCGATTGGCGTGTACCTGAGGGGTTGGCAGTCGGCTGAGAACACTTTTTTTAACGATTGCCTGCCGTGATTTCATCGCTTTTCGATTCCTCGAGTGCTGTTGTTGTTGGGAGGCTTTGGTTTCCTTGATCTACTTGTTGGCGGACCAAAGCCCAGCCGACTAAGCCCAGCAATGGATGATACATGGCCTCGGTGCACAGCAAACAAACTCGAAAAGACTTGCTGGGACCGGTCAGATTGATGGTGCAACTCTTGTCTCTTGCCGGGAGACACACGTTTCAAGCGAGTTCAGGGGATTCGTGCGGTAATTACGTGGTGATCGAAATCAATATCATCGGTTCGCGACGCTACATCCACGCATCTAAAATGGCTATTCCACAGAAGCTGACTACGCGCCCCCTCTACGTTACTTGACCCTCTCCCCGCATCTCCGGTTCCTTTACTACGTGTGCCTTCAGATCATCAAGAAAAAAAACTCGGTTTGCCGTCCCGCCGTTTATGCGCAAAACTGCTGTGGCGCGCAAGTTGGGTGAAATGCGCTTGGTAGACTATCGTACTGAGCGTCACATGCTCTCCGTGCCAACAGCAACAACCCGACTCCGACACGTAACGTGCTTTTCAACTATGGTTTCTGCGCATCCCGTGCGAGGGCGCCACCACATGAAACCTTGCCTTCATGATTGACTAAATCGGCCGGGTCCTTCGATCCTTACAAGAAATGAATTGTTCTACCTGAACTACCAACTCCCTTGTCCCCGGTGAAATAGCAGTGACGACGGCGGGATCGATCCGCTCGACAGCATCGGGGCGTGCATAAATACCGAAACTCGACCCAGAAGGACATGGCTTGATCAAAGCCATGGATAAGCCTCTTCCAGATGCTTGCCAAATCTGCAGGACTACAAACTTCTTCATCTCCACGGCTTCGAACGGCCACGTTGGTCCCGCCTGGGCGACTATCGCCAGACGTCTGCACCATCACGAGGACAGCAAAAGCATCACAAGTGCAGCGGAAGAACGCGGGATTTGAAAGGCGACAGCTGAAGACTGGTTTGACCTGATCGCTGGTCATGGTGCCGTAATATTGTCATGTTTCCATTCCCAAGGTGATCCCCAACTTCTCCTTGTTTTCCGCCGGCGGGGGGATTATAGCTCTCTTGTCGAACTTGGGCCACCTGACGGGGAAGTTGAGGGGTGTTCTTATGACACAAACACTACGGTGTCAGGGGGGAATCCCAGAGGACCCCAAATATACGTGACACAAACGCACAAACATCGTCCTCCCTACTTTTCCCGAAACCGACCAAGTAAACGGTCGACATGTACTTGCAACAATTCCAGGAGGTAGGAGGGCCCGTCATTGCACGACGCTCGACGCCAAGGGCCGCATGGAAACAGCGTGCTCGGCCCCAACAACTGAGTGCGTTAGGTTCGCTGTGGTTCCAACTTAGCAGAGAGTGGCTGTAACAAAGGCAACCCCTCGCGGGAACTCCTACACCCAAAATTCCGGGACCAACGGGGGGGGGTATCAAGTTACCGTGATAGTATTGCAGCACGAGATAAGGCGAGCCACGTCCCAATGTGGGCACGTGCGTGTTAGCATTAGCTAAGAAAACTCACTATCCGACACTACAGTACTCAAAATGAGCTTTCAGCCAGCGGCAGGAGGACCTCCTAATCAAAACTTTACCAATGGATACAGCTCCAGCCCCCAACGGCAACACACCTGTCCCTCCGCGTTTCTCGAGTCTTAGATGTATCCCACAATGGTGCGAAACACCTCTTCCGACTCAAGCCCCACCAGCACGTTCACCAAGCCGCGACCTCGGCCGCGGCCTCGTCGTCTTCGCCCTTTTCTACTGTCGCCGCTCTCCCGATCACCGAGAATAATGCTCTGGCCACTGCCTGCTTTCTTGGCCGACGACCGCCAACACCGAGCGAGATGTCCCGTTCCTTCTTTGTTCGTTCACGAAGAATGGCCAGCCAGCACCGACGACGCCACGCCCTGTCAGCTGGAGCGCGCGCCAACAGCTCGAGTGCGCGCTCTAGCTCGGGCCACGCCTCCACCCATCCGAGCGCCAACCTTGTGAACACGTAAGCGGGGGTACTCCCCTGCTGATCGACGGTTTGTTCTGAGGCACCTCATGTCAAAAGAATATCGACGGTGTCATCCATATATATCTTCTCCCGAATTTGCTGCGAGGTGTAGAGCCGTAGATCCATCGTAGTAGGTTGTTTGGTCGACGCTGGCTCCCCGCCTCAAGAGGGCGAGCAGGGCTCCGTTACCCCAGCTCTGGCCGCCAAAAGGAAAGGCGTTGCGTCCTTCCGTCCAGACCTAGCATTGATGTCAGCTCCCGCATCCAGCAGCGCCGCGTCACAGACGGCGTGGTCCATCAGAGCGGTCCAGTGAAGAACAACAAGCGAGCCGTCCCCGTCATCAGCATTGGCAACAAAACCATGCTCGACCATGGCTGTCCCCGCGCTCTCTCTGCCGAGCGCAAGGGCCAAGGAGAGCGCTGCGATGGAGTCCGAAGCGCCCCGTATGCGGACATCGGCACCCGCGGCCAAGAGGGTCTTTAACGCGGCCACGTGGCCAAGGTAGGACGCCATCGTCAGAGGGGATCGCCCATTGTTGTTCAGGGCATTCTTGTCCGTCTTGCGAAAGAAAGCTCAACAGCACCGAAACCCTGCTCGCGAGGCCCCGCTCAGCGGCAGCGTGCAGAGGAGTTCCGCCGCCCCAACCATTCTGATGAGCATTTGGATCTGCTCCGGCAATCAGTAGATCACGCACAAGATCGTCATACCCCGCCCTGACAGCGGCGATGAGTTGGCCGGCTTTGTCGGCAAGGTCCTCAAAGTTGACATCGGCTCCGAACATGACGAGCCTTCTCGCTGGAGCTTCTTCTTGTTTTGCCCACGATTGACTGATAAAACGCAAATCTACCGGTGGAAGCGGCCACTGCATTGACATACGGCTTGAAGCAAGGCAGACATCGCATGAGCGTTTTGTTTCCATCAGCTGATTGAGTAGCCTAGTAACGAGGTTCGAGTTGCCGTGCTCGAGCAGAGCTCGCAGCCACTGTGCCCACTGTTGTGGGGTGGCGCCCTCGGACACGAGCTTGAAAAGCTCCACTTCTTCTCCGTCCAGAACAGCGCGGTTCGGGCACAGGGGCATGATGACCGGGACAGGGTGGTGGAGTTGGGTTGCACGTACGTGGTTCGCTGCTTCAAGATGCAGGATGCGGAGTGTTGAGTTTACACGTTCGAACTTCTTGGTCCACCTCAGGCACTCTCTCTGGCGGCTGATGCTCCGTGGTATGCATATCACGCGTGTACACATGTGTATATATACAACCTGGGGGGGCAACATACCGAAACTACGGAGCCCCGCGTTGAATGTTGGACGCTTGGCATCTTGGCGTGGTGGATCAGCAGAGTAGCACCCACCGAGACAGCGTGACGTCGAGAAAGCAATGCCTTCTCACCCTCGCGGGACGGCGCCGCAGCAGTGCACGGCCCTCGCCAGCGGGGTGGGCTTTGTTTCGCGGTCAACGGCGGCCGAACGCGCTTCGGGTAACACGTTGCTCCTTGTTCACCCCGCCGCCGGCTGCAGCCTCCCACAGCAGCAGCAACCGCGACGACGTCATGTACGATCGCGGCCCCGGGGCTTCACCTCTTCGTTTCTCACGCTCACAAACCGATCGACAGTGAACCGCCCTCGTCATTGCCCCAGAGACGGCGGCGGTGGCCTTGATGATGGTAGCGGTGCATGGCGCGGTGTGTGTGGGGCTTTGCGGACGGCAGCCTCTCCCACCACAACAACAGCCGATGTTATCGATGCTGCAGCTGCTACTGGCGTGGAGCGGCTAGGGGAAGAAGGAGAACAAAGGGAGAGGATAAGCGCCGGGGGTAGCGCTGCTGCGGTCTCTGACGGGGTCGGCGAATCGCCAGCCGGGGTGAGCGCTGGCTCTCCGACCACGGATGCCAACATGCAGAATAGCGGCACCCGCATCAACGAGCGCTCGCGACGGAAGCTCCCAGCGCCGGGTACGCCGGCCCGCTTGGTCGTCGAGGCGAAGAAGTCGGCCAGCGCAGCGGCGGCCTTCATGCGACGCATGACCGAAGCCGGGAAGAGGGGCAGGTGGGTGGACCAGACAAGCACAATTTCTGCTGTTCATGTAGCAACAGCAGCAGTGTGTCTGCCGCAAGAGGCAGCTATGTACATAGCTGTAACTCGCATGGCTACCTTCGATATATTTGTACGGGGACGTGAATCACACACACACGCTTTCACACACCGACAACAGCAGCGGGCAGCAGCAGCAGCAACATGCAATAATCTCGCGATAGCCCCCTCCCTTCCTTCCTTCACTACGATTTCGTTTGTCCAACTGCTCACAATTGGAACCATGAATTCTTATTTTGAGAGGCTCGTCGCCCCGAGTCGCTATGCTACTTGTGTGCTCCAGTAACCTTCAACGCAAACCGGCAACTACGGCTTACAGTAGAGCTTCCAGGCAAATCGCTTCTTGCAAACAAACTCTACAAGTACCTACAGCGTGTCCTATCTCTCCCCACTTGAACTAGCTCCCACCCATTGCCCCCACTGATAGCCTTCACCGGGTGGGCACAGCATTCAAAATACCTGGCAGACGGAAACACCACTGCTGTGTGTAGCAGGTGTCGCGGTCGGTGCGTGGTGTGGCCCCAAGCGGCTGAGGAAACAGCCGGGGTTTGACTTTCTACTGCTGTTTTTGGTACACGTCGTCCGTATCTCCTTCTACCTTGTTTGTCGACTGCTTGTGGTTTGCGTGAGAACCCAGATGGTTTTTCAGGCATGAATTTATGAACGAACACCCGGAATATACCATGCATGTGGCTTGACTGTGCAAGTACCGCGTGTTTGTGGAGACGACCGCACCCCCCAGGCTCATGTTCGTTGTTCGATTCCCCCGCAACCAAGACGGGGCGCCACTGACGGAAACATGCATCAGGAAGATGTCGCAGAGACCTTTCCTTTGCTTAGACGTACGTACATGAAGCACATAGGTTGCTTTCGCACCCTCTTGGTTTCGCAGCAGTCGAGCTACCACGCCCATCGGTCCACCATGATAGGGGGGCTGCGACTAGTCACCCCGTGTCAAGCTTCTAGCAAGATGAGAGGCCAGGTAGGAAATACCCACACACACACGCACGCGGACTCTGAGGATTGTCGCATCTGTTGCCTTGACCAAGCTGGCGTGTGGCGCCCTCGCTCAGCACTTGCGCGGTCGATGCGAATCGAAGACAACGTTCTACGCACAACAAATTCGGTGTTGCTCTTTTACTTCCTGTGCTTCCTGTGTGCTGAAACTTGATTACGAGATGCACTCTGTGTCCCCCCCCTGTTGGAGGGACTCCGCACATGTGACGTGTGAAAGCGGTCGCGTTCGTTGTTGGCGTTGCCAACTCGTACGTTGACCAAATGTTACCGTCATCCGCTTACCAGCGGTAGTTCGCAAGGTCAACACCGTACAGCAAGTACAGAATCGCACGCAAGTGATCCAAGGTCACGCCCGTACACCAACCAGCAGGTGGCGCGACGTCGTTCCTGCTCTCGAGGAGATGCGCAGTCTCGGCCTAGTCACCGACGGCCGCCCCTATACGGTCGCCATCAAGGCCCTCGGCGACAACGGCAAGACGGAGGAGGCCTTGAAGCTCCTTGAGGTGCGTTCATGTTGTTGTTGTTGTGTGCATCGACCACGCTACCCGGCTGACCAGTAAAACGACTTCAGTCGACAGAAAGGCATTTGGTGTAGGTGTTCATGGAGGGATTTGCCGACCGGTTGCACAAGGTATGTGGAACGCAACTGCAAAGTGGGTTGCCTTCTTTGTTGCTGTTGCAAGTGGTGAATCAAGACTCGGGGGAACGTTTTGTGGAACGTTCCTTGGATATTATTTTGGCTTGGTCACGTGGCCCAGTTGAACTCTCTACTGCCGTCTTGCGGTGGTGTGTGGATCAAGACGTGGATTGCGTACATGTATACGAAGCTGCTACGCACCGTGAGGCTTGCTTTTACCTACGTCGCGGTACAAGCCTCCACACACTTACATAGTATTGCTGTCGACCCCCGAAATGTCTTCGTCTTCCTCTCCGTGGAGGACCTGATCCCTCGATTTTCTCCCCCAAAGCTTCCTCGTGATGAAGGTCGCCCCCCTCACGCCTCCATACCCTCTGCTACGTATGCTTAATACAGAGCGTCCCCGACAGCGGGATCGCACTAATATTGTTTGATTGTCCCTGGCCTCCCCCTGAGACGACCCGTTCCTCACCCCCCCGGCGCCCCCCGCCCTGTCCTCTGTACTTTGTAGAGCATGCGCGAGGGAAGGATCCCGCCAAACGAGTTTTCCTACACCGCGGCGGCCAGCGCCTGCGCGAAGACCGGAGACTGGAAGGGGGCGCTGAGGCTGCTGGGGCAGATGAGGGAGAAGGACGGGCTGGAGCCTAACGAGTTCACCTACACAGCGGCGGTAAGAGATGGACCTCTGTCCAATCTCCTTCGAAGCGGTGGGCACCCTTGTCGACATGGAGGAGCTTTTTGTGGTTCTACTTTGTTCTCGCCTTGGTGCTTTGCATGACCCAGTTATACGTACATGGACGCAACATGAACTTGCAGGTGACGGCCTGCGGCCGCGGCGGGAACCTCGAGGCGGCGTTGTCCCTGCTGGACGGCATGAGGGGGAAGGGCGTCTCCCCGAACTGCTTCACCTACAACAGCGCCATTCACGCCTGCGCTAGAAAGGCGAGTCTGCCCGCTGGCTTGTTGTTCCCCAGGGTAGTTAGAATGGCATTGGACCTGATGGAGAGGGCGAAGTTTTTTTTTGTCAAGGTCTCATGTGGTATGCATTTGAACAACGGTGTTGGTTCAGGTTTGTTTGTGTCATACATGTATTGCGAGTGCTGTTGAGTTGCAGCTTTTTTTTTTGTCAGGGATCCGCACAAGTACAGCAGTATTTCACTTCTTTTTTTTGTTTTGGCGCTGGAGCTGGTGGATAGGATAAGTAATGCTTTGTCCAGGCCTTCGGATGTGGTTGTTCTGCCTGGCAGACATGCCTCTGGCTGGAAAGTATCGTCTCGCCCTTCTTTGCCGTTTTTAACCCGAAATGCGGCTAAACTGTTTAAAAAACACACACACACACATTATACACTTGTTCCTCACGGCGTACGACGACAACGTTGAACAGGGTAAGTGGAAGCTGGCGCTGGAGCTGATTGAGAGGATGAAGGCGGACGGGGTGACGCCGAATCTCACGACGTACTCTAGCGCCGCAGACGCGTGTGCTAAGGGAGGCAATTGGTGAGAAGAACCGAGGGCGGATGGCGGGGCGGAGGGAGACCGTTGACGAAGAACAGAAACGAAACGTATGCAAAGCTGTGCCGTGTGCTACACCGGGAAAATCAACGTGGTGTTTCCGTGTTTTTGGTGGCTTGAAAATGTGTGCGGCGGCACGAGTAAGATTAACTTGGTCTTTCAGGGTGCGTTCTGTGGGCCACGTGACGATAAATATTATGGACGTGGGCTGGGCGTGCCGCTGTCGGGGTGTCCGATTGGCATATGTCAAGGCTCGAAATTAAAGTACATGGGGGGAGGGGAGGGGGGCAACGGCGTCGTGCGTATTGCCCATTGCGACAGACTTGAGTGAGGGAAGTATGGATGGACAGACAGACCACAGTCAGACAGACAGACACAGGGGAGAGAGAGAGAGACACAGAGAGAGAGAGAGAGAGAGAGAGAGGGAGAGAGAGAGAGAGGGAGAGAGAGAGAGAGAGAGAGAGAGAGGAGTAATTTCTTGGGCCGAGCCAGAAGGAAGCAATGAGAATGAGTGTGTCCCCGATTACCACTGCCCTCATTGCTCTTGTGTTGTATCCTTCTCTCTCCAATATTTTTGTTTGGTTGTTCGATCTTTTCTCTGCCCACCTTATGCGATCGATAGTCCACTCTTGTTGCCCTCACCGCGCCCCTTTACTTTTACTTTGCTCCCTTCTCTGGCTCCTCTCTTTGTCTCCTGTCGCAGCGTGGCTGCTCTCAAGATACTGGAGGAAGTCCGCAGCCTCGATTTTGAAGTCGGAGAGATCTTGTACAATTCGGTTATGGAGGCATGTGCCGCCGTGGGGCAGACCAAACTGTCGCTTTCACTTCTTGAGGTGGGTTTGGTTTGGTTCGGGGCGGTTCGGGGCGGTTCGGGGCGGGGCGGTGCAACTGTTCATTTTGCCCCACCATGTGCCTTGTTACACCGTGTGGTCCACTTAAATGGTGTCGTGGGCAGAGGTCATGCGGTGACAGACTATGGGTTCGTCTCATTTTCTGTGCGAAAAAATAGCGTTGCTTTCTTGCCCGGAAGAAATAAAACATACCATATTCTTGGGGTGCGTTTTTTCGTATGCATACAAGAGCATACCATCATTTTTTTTGGTATTTTTCTCTCGAAGACTTGGGGCTGATGTTGCGCTCCGTTGCAACCAAACAGACGATGCGGAAGGACGGTGTGAAGCCGAGTCCGGCGACGTACACGACGGCGATAACTGCGTGCGGCCGAACCGCGGACTGGAAGCGAGCCCTGCTGCTGCTGGTGGAGATGAGGAAGTCGTTCCCCTCCCGCGCTCTCGACGTCAACCGGACCGTGGCAGCGGCTGCGGCGGCGGCAGCAGCGGACCAGCGCGAAGGGGAAGTGGCAAGAAGTGGGAACAACGATAACCACACCGGCAGCAGCGATAGTGGTGGCGATGGTCGCAGTAGCGGTGCCGTTGAAGGGGTTGGCTCTAGTCGTGATGATGAGAGCGGCGGCACCGACGATAACAGCAAGGAAGGGCCCGACTGGTGGGGAAAAGGGAACGTCCAGGAGGTGATGGGCACCCCCGGCGCATCAAGACGGCGGGCCGGGAGAAGGCCACCACAGTTCGACACCTCAACAAGTGCGTCAACAGCACCAGTCGCAGCCACAACAACAAGATCAGACCCACGACTAGCAGCAGGCGGGGGCAGGAGCAATGCAGGGCACAGAATAGGGGGGGGGGCGCATGACGGCAGGAGTCGGGCCACCGCAGGCGGGGGGGGGGCGGGTGACGGGAAATGGGGCAGGGCGGGGGGCACGGCCGGGCGAGTGGCCTTCCCGGACGGGAGGGGGGCGGCCTCCAACGCGGCCCTCACTTTGTGTGGCAAGGCTGGGAGGTGGGATCCCCCCCGGGGCTTGCTCGAGGTGAAAAAAAAAAAAGGGGGGGGGGGGGGGGGGCTTTCATTTTTTCGTCGTTGCGATGGTGATCGTTTGTCTGTCTCGGGTGCTGCTCGGACGTTCTAATCTCGTTGTATTTTTTGTATGTGTTTTGTGTGTGTTGATTGTTTGCTGTACCGACCTAACCTGTTGGCGTTGCCTCGTTATATTTTCTGCCTTTTTGGTGGGAAGACGTCAGGCTTCCGTTGGTGTGAGGGAGAGGAAGACAGAGAGTTGGTTCTTGTGAACCGGTTCCGTGTGTGTCACACCGTCTGCTTGTTTGGTTCTCCTGCGGGCTGGTCGAGAAACGGCTCCTGTTTTGCCGGTGTATGGCGGCACGAGTCTCTTGTCTTGACCTGCCGTCGGACGTCAGAGTCAATCGTCGACTGGCGACGCGCAAGCCGTGTACTGTACTAGGCGGCGAGGCGGCCACCGTCTGTGGTGACGATGAGTTGCACATGTACGTAGCACCGCCTTTGCGGCGCGTAGTGTCGTCCGTGCATAGCCATGTTGTTGTTGTTGTTGTTGTTGTTGTTTGTCATGTTATCGTCGTCGCCTTTTGTACTTGAGGCACGATAGGATGTTTGTTAGGCCCAGCTTGGGTTTTGCATTTGAGAGGGCCATAGCGTATCTGTGGAGAGATTAAAGCAGGGACAGCTCATAGCGATTGGGTAGAAGGGAAGAAAAGAAAACCCTTGGAAATCGAGACGAGGTATTAGTTGAAACGGTTAGCGCCCAGGACATTAACTTGTACCCCCCGCACTCTTCTGTGCTATGTTGCCATGCATTCGCTCGTGTTCGCTGGCGTGTTCATATTCCAACGTTTTCAGGAGATGCCGTCGTACGGGATAATGCCGGACGTGGTCTCGTACAACTCCGCCATCTCGGCTTGCGGGTACCGTGCAAAGTGAGCTGATGCTGTTGTTGTTGCTGCTGCTGTAGCCGCCGTTGTCAGCAACGCTGTTTTAAGCAACGCTGTTTATTGTCTTGCTGCTGTTCTTGTTGCTGCTGCTTTTGCTGTGTTCTTAACACGCGGTACGTCTGAAACCGTTCTCTGGTCTCCACCTACGCCTTCACCGAAGCCCTCCCTGCTCCACACCGGCATGCTGGACTCAATCGATGTCACGAACACAAAGTATAACTGGGCACTATTCCTTGGCTACATGTACAGGTGGGACAAGGCGGCTGGTCTGCTTGCGGAACTCTGGCTGGCCGGGTTGAAGCCAGACTGCTACAGCTACTCCTCAGCGATCCACGCTTGTGCGGGAGCAAGCCGCTGGGAGGAGGCCATGAGTCTGCTCAGGGTACGTGTTGTCTTTGAGTATTTGGCATTGTCGACGGCGGGCGTTAAACGGCTGAATGATGGATGCGCGTGAGTCTTGTAGACTACGGGAGACAAAAGAACACGCGCCTTAGTCATCGGGCTTCCCCGGAAAGTATCGTTTTTGTGTGTTGGTGTTGTGTGTCCTTCGATTTGTCGCTATCGGCTACGGGGACATTGTGTAAGTGATGTTTTGGTATAATAGTGTGGTCAGGTAGTCTTTGGTAGATCACGCGCCAGACGTGCCGACCAGTCCATAGATCGTGACTATCGTCGCCGGCTACTGCGATGAGTTGCCGCCCATCCCGTGTGCTATGTATCCTCACCTTCTTATCGGCCGCATGTTCCACGATCATCCATGGTTACCGTCAACATGGACACCGACGAAACCACATACCACCGGTGGTATGCATATGCATGTGCGTTCAGGAGATGAAGGCAGTCGGGCTTGGTCCGAATGTCGTGGCCTATGGAGCGGCCATGTCGGCGCTGGCCAACGGGAAGCAGTGGGAGGTGGCACTGGAGCTGCTTGACGAGGCAAGCGTGACGTTCGTTAGTCCTTTGTGGCAGCGAAGTTGGCTGGATAGGTGTTGTGCTTTCGCTGTCACCTCGAGGACTCCAAGCACCGAGTAATAATAAAAACTCCAGTAATTGTTTACTTCACGCCTTCTTTATGTTTTTGTTTTTGTCACAACCAAGGAAACGCTTGCACTATTAATTAAGCTACTGAATAGATACCGTTTCTTGACTTCACTTTTTGTTCTTTGCGCCTCTACCAATCTGTCCACGTTCAGGTATTGTTTTTCGGAACCTATGCATCCAAAACATTCAATTGTACCGCACTTGAACCTTACCTATTGATCCAAAGGCTTTCTGCCTCTGCGGGGTCTAGTTGTTTGTTATCGAGCCCCAGATCTGCGTACGAAACGTTTTCATGCCATGCTTAACTTCGCGGTTGACCTATTATTGGAAACACCTCTGTTTCCACCGTAGATCTGCTCTTTTGTTGCTGGTGTTGCTGTTTGTTTGTTTGGGAGAAGGTGTGTGCCCACCCGGAAGATTCCGGGATCCGACCCAACGCTGTCTTGTACGGAGCGGCCATCCGAGCGTGCTCGGGTGCTGGCAAGTGGCGGGTCGGCTTGGAGTTGCTAGAGGTAAGAAAGGCTTGGGAATTGCTGTGCATAGAGGTAGGGAGTGTTTTTTTCTTTCGTGTGTGTTTAAGGCTTCCTTGCAAGGACATGTGGGAAGAAGCACTACCTGTCCTGCTGAGATGATCATTGGCTGGCCGGCGCTGCAACCTTTCGGCGCGTTCCTTTCGACCAAGAACACAAGGCACTCGAGTACTTCATTCAGTTCCCAGATTAGTGTGTGAAAAATGTTTTCCGAAGGGCGTTTACAGATGCCAAGTCATCCTTTCTTCTCCTGAAAACCAGATTGAACGCGCCCTCTTTCGCCGGTGTGTAGCATACAACCCGGAGCCTTAGACGTGGTCTTGACTATGACGTCACTCTCAGTGCGCTTCTAACTTCTAACGGCGGGTGGTCTGGTGTGTGGTTACACGTGCGGCCTGCCCGTGTCTCGTTTGAAACGCACCACAGAACATGCACACGGCGTCCGGAGTGACACCGTCGCTGGTGTGCTACAACGCCGCGCTGCACGGCATGGCCTCCGCGGGGGAGGGCAAGAGGGCCAGGGACCTCATAGAGACCATGCAGAGGGGGCCGAGAATTACGCGGTAAGTACTGGCGGTGTCTTCTCGTATGGTGCAGGGTTGACACCTTTTTAGCAGGGGAAGCGTTGTTCCACAGGAGGAGTTGTGCGTGGTGAATGGTGGCGCTGGTGTACGTGTGAGCTTGACCTTCAGCGGGAAAGACGGTGTTTCTCTGTCGCGCTCTCGTGTTGGTCTGGTAACTGTTAATCTCGATGTTTCCGCCGCGAAGATTCCCACGGCGGCGAGGGATGTCATCTCATGTCATGCCATGTCATGTATGAGTACCTGTCGTCTATCTCTCCTTTCCTTTCGTGCACACACGAGCGAGTTGTACACACAGACACAGCAGGAGCTGCCACTTTCTTTGTCCATCCATTGAACATGGCGGCTACCGTGTGCGATGGCGCGCCTTTGGTTGAACCGTAGGTGTCTACGGTGGAATACCGCCATATCGTACATGTGGTAGAGGCGAGCCTATTAAACGAAAAGCTACGTGTGTGTGTGTGTTTCGTGGTGAGTCCTGTGTGTAAAGACAGTCAGCTTGATGGCGCGTGAGGGTAATGGTTAACGCAGCCTTCCCCCTCGTCTGATTACGCAAAGGCCCGACCACTACAGCTACAACTCGGCCATCGCGGCGTGTGGTCCAGGAGGCGAGGTGGCAGAGGCACGGGCACTACTAGAGGTACGTTTTGTTGTTGTTGTTGGGGTTTTTGTTGGTGTTGTTCGTTCCTTGTCAATGACTCTTTTCTTCGTATCTCACTATACCATGTTGCACCCCCAATAAACATGTTCTATAATAAAATGGAGGACAATGTTATACCTTGACAATGTTCGCGCTTACAGTATAGCGGATTACACCGCCGATCCCGCGTGTGCCTTTTATTCGGTCCCATTTTTGTGTTTCGTTTGGTGCTCGTGCTTTCTTCTGCCAGCGTATCTATATATGCGTAAAATTCCGTCATTGTTGTTTTCCTTTCATTTTTTTCACTTGTTTTCTCGTGTCAGCGTCTGCAGCACACCGCCGAACCCGTGTGTGCCGTCTATGCATACGGTTCCATCATTTTATTGTTTTCGATTGTCGTCTATTGCCGCTTGTTCTGTTCTGTCAGTGTATGCGGCAGCGCGGTACCCCGCCGGACGTGTTTAGTTTCAACGGGGTGATGCAGGCCAACGTTTGGGGTGGTGACTGGGCCGCCGCTCTGGAGGTATGTACAGCACTTCTTTTGGCTGAAGGGTGGCAAAAGAAGCGACTTTATGTCCAGTCCTTTCCCTTGCTTCCTTTCGCCTTTGTTATTGTCGATGGCCGGGTATTTGTCTAGTTAAACGGTTCCTCTTGGTGCTTCTCGCGTTTCGTCCCGACGTATTTTCGGCCGGCTCAACTCCTTTTCGGATGAGCATTTTCGTTCGCGGTCGGGTACGATTACTGTAGTTGGTACCGGGTGGCTGCAATGCTCTTTCGTAGTGTTGTGACATTCACGTCCCATGGTTGCAAGCATGGCCTCCGAAATTTGCCCCTATGTGGTTGTCACGGAGTGCCGGACAAGAATTTCAAATATGCAGACAATAGGCACGCGAATATATGGGCACGCCATCAGAGGCGAACGCCCGTGCGGCAATCGCGCTCGTCCCAGCTACATAGTTTGTAAACTTACGGAGGGAGCTACGGTAACGACATCATCGTCACCACGAATGATCACGACGACGACATCATCATCATCATCATCATCAACAACAACAACAACATCAACCAGCCTGTTTTTCTTACTGCTCTCTGCCGTGGGGCTCATTTTTTCCCATTTTTTCAGCTTCTGGAAGAGATGAAGAGCGAGGGCCTCATGCCCGACGTTACCAGCTTCAACATCGCGGTGCACGCGTGCGCCGTGGGGTGCCAATGGCAGGTATGCTATTTCTCTTTGCGTCGACCCCCCCCCCCCATACGCACCTGCTACCGTCTTCCAACACAATAGAAACGAACGAACTCTGCCAACCGAAGATCGGGACTGGGGGGCTCAAAATCTGCACCCAGACATCTACTGTAGGCGTTTTGTTTTTTTGTGCTCTCCTTTTTTTTCCTGGGAGGTTCATTTTTTGTATGGACCAAAGTCAATTTGTTAGGGTTTAGTTTGTTTCTACAAGTATTTGTTCTGAGTCTGTCAAAACCCTTGCACTGAAGGATGAGTGATGGCGGCCGGCACACAAACATTAACATACTTACATATGGGTACATGTTTTATTGAACCTTCCCTGCAGGTCTCAGCTGGGTCAAAGACAAACATGCAGGGGGAGAACCCTTCCGTTACGTCGTGTGCTTCTACAATTCTGCCTTTTTTCATCTTCTCTCTCACGAGTGTTTTTTTTTTTTTTGTTTTCGTCTGTGGCGATGGAAGTACGACCCGTAGACTCTTCCTGCAGCTAAACCGACACCGCTATTGACTGTGTCGTGGAACTTGTCATGATTACTTGTCGAAGGCGGCGATGGACCTGCTGGACGAGATGGCGGAGGCAGGTCTGGCCATGGACGCCTTCACCTACGCTCACGCCATCGAAGCCTGTTGCAACGGGGGCAACCGGGTGAGAACGCACGAGACCTAATCTAACCCTACGACCAACCGGAACCTAACCCTATCCCTAAGACGAGCCTTAACCTGACCTAAGACCAACCGGAACCTAACCCTATCCCTAAGACGAGCCTTAACCTGACCTAAGACCAACCGGAACCTAACCCTATCCGTAAGACGAGCCTTAACCTAACCTAACCCTGAGACGAGCCCCAACCTGACCTTAAGAAGAGACCAGCTCTCGCTGGTACACCGTCAATGGTCGAAAGAAGATGACAGCAGCATGTGGCCACCATGTAATTTTTCACAACAATACGAAAAGTACGGTTGCGGTTGGTTATGGCGACGGCCCGTGCCCCTTGTGTGTGCGAACATGGGTCTCTGGGACGGGTACAATGCGTGGAGCGAGCGTCCAATTGCGATTGAAGCATGTCGCCCCCGTCATTTTTTTTCTTGCGCTTGAGCGTACGTGCCCCTAACAAACTTGAACGGCGGGTGGATGAACCAGATGACGGCCGTGGCGCTTGTGCGACAGCTGAGGGACAAGGGCATGCCGCTGCGGATGGCCACTTACACCGCCATCACGGAGGCGTTTGGGCCGGACGCGCTGGCCTTGGTCGGTCAAACACCGCCGCCGCCGGAGGCATTCTTGTACTGATCGATGCCTCCCCGGGGTGATTGTTTGGATACTGCTCGCTGTGTGATGGTACCGTTTACGGTACGTGTTTCTCTTTTTTCAAAACGGGGTGCTCGTTCCATCTGGTGGACAGACCTCATGAAAACGGTTTTTGGTTGCCAGTTTTGCTGGATGTGGGACGCTCTCCCTTTCGACGAGCTGGTGGTGGTGCGGGTTGAGGCCGGCTTGGCTACGGCGAGAACCTTCCCTTTTGCCCTTTGCTGGCCGCTGTGGTTTGAACCGGTCCGAATAGTCGGGGATATACTGTACATCGTAGCGGGGCATGCCTTTGCGCTGATAGGTTTGCTTGATTGAATTGGTGTGCTGACAGCGGAAGCGTGTTTCTGCGCAGGCTTTAAATGTTAGATCCACTCAGCCGAGCCTTCTGCCTAGAGGTCGACCGGGAGCGTCTTGCCGGCCCCGACAAGTGCCGTCGCCGGAGTGCTCCCTATTTCTTTGTGCGGGTCGGGTGTGACCCTGCTTTGTTGTAGTGGGAACGGAGTCAGTTGATTCAGGCTCTCATGTTGATGTTAAATCAATGCGTTGGCTACAGCATTTCCCATTGCTCATGACTTGGCGAGGAATTTCCTCAAGGTTTGTGGTCGGAACCTTTGGAAAATTGAAGCACGTCCGGCTCCGGGGGGTTGAGTGAGGAAGTGTTGACATGCTACATACATGCTATTATAGTGTTGTGCTCCCGGTGGGAACACTAGGCGCCAGGCACGCGCATGCACCAGTCCACGTTCTTGTTCCCGCCGGGTTTGCTAGGCCGTGTCGGTGCTCCGATGTGCCGAATGTTCGCGAAGAGCCGTTGGAATCTTGTCCCTTGGCCGGATTGATTTGCTAGTGCGTGACCTGAAGCACGCCAGTGACTGACTGGCTGACTGACTGACTCGAGTGCAAATGAAAACATGCGTGTGCAGGACATGACGCCAGCGCTGAACAACAGATGAATAGACTTGGACATGATGTTTTTGGTGGAAGTGTCTTGGACTTGCGGCAGCGTAATTTTTGTTCTGTTTTTCCTTGTGCGCGCCCTTCCACAAGATTCGGGGAGGAAGTTCGATTTGAGCACCTAGCGCGTCGTTCACTTGGTCAAGAAGAGAACTACCCCACACCACGGTACCTCTCTCACTCTTGTGTGTCAGCTTCTATTTTTGGCTACACGGGTAAGTACCGTATATGGCACAAGATAACACACCCCCTGGACCGATTTTCAAAGCTCGATTACTCCACGACGAAGAGGATGCATAAATGAAACAAAACGTTTTCGAACAGCTCTCGACGAGACGGTTCCAACGCCGCCGTTTTCGGCGCTGTGACTCTTCCTGCTGTTGAGAAATCGAGCTTTGAAAATCGGCCAAGGGGGTGTGTTATCTTGTGTCATATACGGTAACGTCATGAGTCCCATCCGTGGCGCTCGTGTGGCTGGGGTATGGCTTCCTTGCGTAATGCGCAGGGCTCTTTGTTTTCTACACTAATTGGGCGACTGCGCTTCCGTTTCGATTTAAGTTCGCCAGCTACATCTGATCGGATCGGAGTTGCTTGAGATGAGAGTGGGCCCCGTCTGTCTAGTCGTTCGGACAAAACCAACCGTGGGAAGGGGAGGGCGTGATACCCTTGGCTCACCAGTTTGTGCCGTCAAAGGGGGTTGTTTCATTTCGCAGACGCTTTTTTGTAGACGACGCCAGTTTGTGAAGAGTTAACCTACGGTACAAGTAAGAGAGTTGTTTTTTCCATGGCGAGACAGGGGGATGTGCCAGCGTGTTTTTATATGCCTTGTGAACGCACAATACAAACCACCCATGCAGGGAAGAAAGGCGGGACAAGGCCTGTACAAAACTGGCAGCAGACTCCTCGTTAAAGAATATTTTCAACTACAGTTGGCGCCCGCAATTAAGAATTATTTTTAAAAGAAATAGTCGAAGAGGCTCACTTTTCCACGAAAAATAAGAAAATAGGTAAGAAACATCGCTCAGTTTGGGTCACACAAAAATAAATGTCTCAAATCAGAAACAGCGGCGACCGCTGCCCTACTACATAGGAAACGAGGGGTTACGGGAGAGTGTGTCGAATATGAAACACCCCACAGCTCCTCCTATCTCTCGCTCTTTTCCCCCTCTCCCACTATCCCCCCCCTCCCAAGTGCATTATTAGTTGTACGACGAAGGGGGAGTGTTTTTTTTTTTGCGACACCCTCTCCGGCCCCTTGCCGGCTCTGGCGCTCCGGCTCTGGCGCAGCCCACCAGACAGGCCGCGAACCACGATATGCTGTCTGCTGTACGGTTTTGATGGTGCTCTCCGCCAGCTCTCTTGAGCAGAGAACTTTTTTAAATAAGAAAATTGCCGATTTAAGAAATTCAGCAGGATTTGGCGGCACGAAAAAACAAGAAACTTGACATAAGAAATTGACGACGCTGAGTTTATATAGCCCACAATAAGAATTTGAGCCTGAGCCTGAAATAAGCATTTCTGAACTGCGGGCGCTACCTGTAGTCACGATATGATCGTAGACGGTCGATGAGACAGCAGCAGCAATGAATGGCTGTTTACGACTTTACGTCCAACTTACGCTCGGTGCGAGTCAATGTCAATGCGCCTTCAATGATGATACGCACTCCTATTCGGCCGGGATCAGTAACAATTTGCTCGCGTCTCAAGACCAGACTCACTCGCGTGAGAGCCGTGGTAATGGGACGTACTACTAGCAGCCAGTCTGAAGATGGTCAATAGCAGCAGCAGCAGCAGCAGCAGCAGCAGCAGCAGCAGCAGCAGCAGCAGCAGCAGCAGCAGGAAAGCGGCAACTCGTTTGACTGACTAACCGAATCACCCTGTTCGACATTGCGTGCCACAAAAAAAAACACGCAACTTGACACGGCCGAGCAGCATAAAGTGCCATACAGCCTCACCTGCCTAGTACCACGCAGCGTCCGGGAGCACGACTCGCTAGCATTCGCACCCACTGCGACGCGTACATTGATATGCAAGTCCGTCAAACGCTGTTTTGTACTCCGAAACCCGGTTCTTCCTAAACCAACGAATGAACGCAACCAACCCTCCCACCCCCCACGATACATCAAATCCGTCTGCGTGGTGGAATATGCCAGCCAACCGATCGCATTTCAAACCACCACAAGCGATCTCATCCCCCATCCTTTCCCCCCCTGCCCCGAATGACCCCTGAAGGATGAGACACACAACTTTACATACCTGCCTGATTCCAAAACCAATCTTCTTGTTTAACGCCCCCTACACCAAAAAACCGTTTCGATCCATTCCACTTCCACAACAAGCCCAGCCCCCGCCCCTGGATCCCACGTCCACAAGCCTTATACCATTCAACAAACCGGTTCAAGATGCTCAAAGAAAAATAGGTACAGCTTTCACATCGCGGCCGGCCCTCCGAAGGCGTACCATCGAGAGGGGGTACGTTCTGGGTCCATCCCCGAAGTCCCCCCCTCTCCCATTCTCCGTCACCCCCTCAAACAGCAAATGTGTGTGTACCCCCTTTTCATGCGGCCTGCACCGGCCCTCGGAGAGTCGGATGCCGCGCGACCATTCCCATCTAGGCCCCCTCTTCCTTCGGGAGGGACGAAGGGAGCCCACACTCTGGAGGAGCACGACCACCCATGGGAACCTCCCAGAACCTGAATCAATCAAACTCACGGCCGAAACAGCGCGCTCTCACTCTGAAAATGTTTTCCCCCTGCCAAATACTCTACAAAAACCTACACCGCGAGGGAGAGACATGCCAAGAAGAAACAGCTTTGTCCTATTGTTGCTGGAATAGCAATGACCTTCAGAGCAACATGAACGCATCCCGGAGCAGGGGCCGGGCCGAAAACAAGCAAACTCCGCCCACCCAGCAAATACACGAACATTCGTGCGGAGTCCCGCATGAATCACACCAAAATCCGCGAGAAAGCAACACTGGCGCATATGCCGATATTTGGTCGGTAATTCGAAGTAAACCCGACTAGCCACACGAAACAAAAGTAGACGAAGAAATATATATATATATATATTCTCAGACCCCAACGACAGCTGCAAAAACAAAATATGGGCCACGACTTTTCCTTCCAGATCTCTTTCTGTGTGTCAACTTAGCAAGCCAGTCATCATCTATACGCTACCCCCCTCCCGTTTCGGCGCAAACGCTCTATTGTAGGTGGTTTCAGCACCAGTCACGCAGGTTGCCGTATGGAACCACACACCCTAGACCTGTTTTCAAAGCCTGAATACCCCGCGGGAAAGACCAGCACCGGTCCCGAAAATGGTGGGAGGCGTTGGGACCGTCTCGGCGAGAGCTTTTCCGAAATACGTGCTGATTTGATTTTGGCATCCTCTTCGCTATGGAGATATCGGGCTGCGAAACTCGGCCCAGGGGCTGCCTTGGCATCTTATCCAGCCTGCGGTATGCTGGCGGGTTGACGCAAACGTTGATGCCTGCTCAATCGTCTCTCGCCTCACAAAAAAAAAAAAAAAAGGAAGAAATATAGCGGGAGAAGAAACGAACTAGCTGTAGATGAGGCGGAGGATGTCGTTGTGAACGTAGTACGCTCCCGGCCCCGTGCTCACGAGCTGGAACATCTGAAGGTAGTGAAGCTGGTTCCCGTTGTCGATCTGTCCACAGAGCCAAAATGAGAAAACACACACGCCAGGAGACAGTTTCAGCAGCATCGGTTTGGATGTTGCGGCAGTCTTGATGAAAAAAAAATGTTTTGTGACTTGATTGCTTCCGCGTGCCTCTTGGTGAGAGTGCTCAAGGCAACAGAAATGTTCTTCCCACAGTCAAAAACTAGCCAACGACCGCTGAGAGGACCATCATAGACCCGGAGAGAGCCTTTCAATTTGAGATGCTGTAGACTGTAGAGGTATACTCTCCTGAGTACTGAATACGATGCAGGGTGCCGTGTGTGTTGGGCGGGGGGGCAGGCGGTTTCGCCCACAGAATAGAGGGCACCCTGCGTTGAACGAGCACCGGCCCAATCCAAAGTATCAAAACAACTTCAATATTCAGCCTGTGCCTACAGCAGTATCTCTGTGCCAAAAGATGCCGACCGGCCGAAACCAGCCACACGCTCAAAAGAAGCGCCACTACTGTTGCAAAGCAAACTGCAGAGAGAGAGCGGTGAGAGAATGCTGCAAGAGATCCAACAGGCTTGCCGTCGCTGTACATGGCAAAATTGCAAACCGTACATAGACCATGGCACCAGATGCCATCTGCACACAGTACCTTGAGCTTGCCGGTGACGACGGCCAGGAGGGCGCTAGTGGTAGTGCCCATCTGCACATCAAGCGTGTCCGGCTGAAACTGCAGGTTTCCCCCCAGATCCTGGAAAAAAAAAAAAAACGTTTAAACGACCGACAGGACACCACCCTAAAACCCGGTGAGCGGGCCGTCACTCGTGTTCTCCTCATCCGTATGCATACGGCCACACATTCGAGTGAGCCTCGGGAGTCCCTCATGGCGCCATAAAAGACAGCCCTAATCGCGTTGAAAGGACAAGGACAAGAGTGTTCATCGGGTGTTGACGACGTTCAACATAAAAAAAAAAATTGGCTCGGTGGGCAGCAGAAAAGAAAACTATTACCAGGCATTCTTTATTTTTCCTTTTTTGATTTATTTTTTTTCGAGTTTTTTGCACGAGTGCGGAGGTCAGAAGGTACTGACAAGACAAGATATCAGAACGTTTTCTTGTACTGTAGCCGCCAGACAACAAACACGTGAAAAACACGTCGTGTTTGCGTCAGTAGATTCTGCTTGAATTGGCCATCATGCCCCTTACCACCCCATCGAAAGGTGCCAATGGCCAAGATACCGTACCCCCATCAATGCAAGAAAAATAACATTCGCTTCTGACGCATACTGGCGTACGGCCGACCTCTTCTACTCGTCTTCCGCAAGACCCAGACATTATTCAGTAGATACACAACGAAAGGGGTGCACCAGGTTCCGATGGTCTAGTTGGTTATGACGCCACCTTGACATGGTGGAGGTCGCGGGTTCGAACCCCGCTTGGAATACTTTTTTTCTTCTGTTTACCGGCATATGAAATACTTCGTGGTGCGGGGGGAGCTCTTCGATCGTGAACAAAATTAACTACTGTGCGAAGATAGCTCTTATGAGAATGTTCTTCTCCAAAATTGCTTTTGTACGAATGCACTTCTTTAGTCTCTTTTCGCTATGACTCAGCTTTCGGACGGGGCGATGCACTCTGCTCCCTTTGCCGGACCTTTCCTTGCTGTACCGTGTACCCTTCCGGAACAATCGAGAGGTGAGAAAATGCAGCAACCGCGACGTTCTACACTTCCACGAGCTACACTAAACGAGATGGTTCTTACATTTTCGCCATGACTCGGGCGAAAAGAACTATCGTGCTGAGAGAAACACGTGTTGTTGCATGCTACCGACAACAGCATGAAGTGTTCCTTCCCTGTGTCGCTACCTGCGCTCACCTTGTACTTGGCGACAATGTTGGTGGCTCCTACCACCTGGTTCCCCTCTATCGTGAGCATCGAGGTGGGTTGGTAAAGAGCGCCCAACTGGTCCAGCTGTGAGTTCATCAGCCGTCGAGACAAGGGCGAAGCGAGGTAGGCAGCAAGAGCCCGGGGGGGAGGACATAAAAATCAGGGTGATTGAACCGAAACAGTGACCAGGTAGTCGACTGATGCTGTCCAACATGTGCGAGGCAGATTAATGCTCTCAGCCAGTCCTGTAAAGCAGCCAGTAGTACATACATGTATGTAGACCGCCCACGTAGAGCATGGGCGAACCTAAACAGTCTACAGCACTACTGGCGTCATTTTCTCCATACCATCGACTGTAAGTGCAGTCGAACATGTAAGGGACACATGCAAACACAACAGCCCGCCGCGTTGTGTGGGGGACAGCCCATTTGTCTCTGGCCTCATGCACCTATCGCCGCCTCACGTTTTTTTCGATACATATTTTTTTCTTCTTGTACGGAGCCGACCCCGTCGTGCTTCTGGCAAAGTTGAAGTTGTCTCTGAATCTCTTAGGTTTGCTATTTAACCGTGAAAAGACCCGCGGAAGCCCGGATACAAACACCGGAACTGACGGGGCGGGATGCAATCTCAACCAGCAGCTCATTCGTTGGCTAGACCGGCAAGTGGTCGCGCTCCCATCTGCAAAAAAACACCCCGCAGATGCGCCCACTGCTCGGAAGACCAGACCAGTTTACAGGAGTCTCAGACACCGCCCACACGACGGAGCTAGCTCACCGTCCGCAAAAAGTGACAATGGTGAAAAGCAATCACAGGCAGGCTCGACTTCTTTTGGTTTTACGTGCGCCAACAAGTCGGTGGCATACGGGAGCCGCGGGGCCATACTGCCCGCCAGCAACACTACCAGCAACGGCACGCGTAACAGCAGACCCAGACGATGCACCGACAGCAAGCCCCCGACTACCCCAACCAAACACGCCCACCCAGCAACACGACTCTCCTGTGCTCGCCTGTGCCCCGTTGTTGGCAAACTTGCTGTAAAAGTGCGTCAAGAACGCCTTGGCCACCTCTTCCCCCGACATGACGAACGCTCTGACTCTGCTGGTGCTGAAGCCGGTGCTGTTCTTTCCCTCGCCGCTCCTACCCACGCCAACACTCCGGTTTGCGTGTCCCTCCCGCTCGTTGCTCCTGTGCTCGCTTGATGAATGAGCTGGGTGTGCAGTTCGGGTGGGGTGTTTGTGGGGTACGGGTACCGATGGTGGGCGATGGTATGGGTTGTGCTGGTTCTCATTTAACACACCATCTTTGCTATTGATGCCGTCGAACTTGTCACCCAACTGTCTGACTGTCTCCGTTCACTATCGACCAAGCCTGGCTTTCATTTAAGCAGCATACCTTCCCGAGGTTGCGCCCGCTGGATCTACTAAATAGACTTTTCTTGCCCCCCCTTGCAGCTGGCTATATTGCACCGCCTGGATGGTGGCCGCACCTCCCTCCAAAAAAAAAAGAGAGAGGAAACACAGACGGAGAAAGTCCTCACGCCACTACAGCAGTACGGCAGGAAAACTATGATCAGCTTGAAGGCATGCGAGGTATTACTCAGAGCGCGCTGGCGGGGGTAATACGCAACGGGCACACATCAGTTGGACATGTAGATACCGCAGTTCGGTACGCCCAGAGAAGCAGCGGTCCGATACCGCCGAAATATTTCAAACCAGGCACATACTGTAATCAATACATGACGATGCACTTGGGGGGTAAGGATGGTCTTTTCAAGAGAACACCCCCAAACTGTTCTTAGAAAGTATATGTAACCTCACAGAAAGACTGATACCCATTCGAGATATAGCCACAGTCGTAAGGGATGTGTTGAAGTCTTTTCAGTGAGTGGAGGGAAACCGGCCGGGTACTTCACTTATTTCGAGTCTATTTCAGTCTATACACTGATGATTTATATCAGTGATACCAGTTGGTGCTAAGACAAAAACATCTGTTCAATGTAGGTGGATACCAGTACATTTTTCAACACCCCCCCTGTAGTCCCCCCCCCCCCCCGGTGTTTGCCATCGGGGTTGGGTTTTCGTCGCTTGGCAACGACGTTGTAAAACAAGCCGCCCCCCCCGGTGTTTGCCATCGGGGTTTGGGTTTTCGTCGCTTGGCAACGACGTTGTAAAACAAGCCCCCCACTCGGTGTTTGCCATCGGGATTGGGTTTTCGTCGCTTGGCAACGACGTTGTAAAACAAGCCAATTCACTTCGTGAACTCGGCAACCAGGTTACCGTTTTTTTTTTTTTACCTCGGTTTTTTGTTTGGCGGTAACCATAATGGTGGTCGAGTAGATCATGTTGTGCGGGGTCGAGAAACCTCACTCCGCGCAACGGGGGATGATCGCACCACGTTGTGTTAAAATGGTCAAGCTTCCTCGAGGCAGTTACACAGTGCGTACAACTGTCTCTGGAAGTGAAAGCACCAGAAAATAAATTAAGTCATACGTAGCTGTCATCCGTACGCAAGGAAGTAAGCACAAGATGCCGAACACCCTTAGCAGGATGCAGCTCACCCTTCATGCGATTCGCCAAATACCTCAGGGCGTTTCGCGCTTGGTGATGTGAGAGCTTGGTCCGGTGAGAACCGGGCGTGTTCCGTCCCGGTTTTGTAGGGATGGGAGGTCAATGGTCAAAGGACTACGGCATGCACGACTATGAGTGCACCCCCCCCCCCCTGTAGTTCTCTACTGAGGACCCCCCCTGTAGTCCTCTCAAGAGGGCACGTGGATTCAAATACGTGATGCACACCCCAAAACTGGATTAAGGACCTCTATCAGGGGGAGGTATGTTATATACCGTATACATAGATATATGTAGGAAATAGTATGGTATAGTATAACCTATACATGTTCTATTGTATAAAATTTACTAATCATGCATATGGCTATTCTAAACCTTACACCTCTCTTACTTACTTCCTTCTTGAAGTTCAGACCGCTGCTGTGTGTTGTGGGTACATTGCATGTAATAAATTTAGTGTGTGTAATAAAGCCTACACATGAGGCTGCTGCTGGTGTGAACCCTGTCTTCTCTATAGGGAACAGCAGACAAGGGGCTTGCTTGCTGATACCCTTCCTTGCTGTTGAAGGAGGACCACATTGATGGACTGCTGTCGTTAAAAGGGGCTACACAAAAAAGGTTTGGGATTTGGGGGGGGGTCATATTCCCCTTTTTATTGTAGGGGTTTTATAATGTTACATAAAAGCCTATCCATTATGGAATATATGGGCCATATTATAACCATTTTAAATCCTATACAATAAGCCCCTTGACCAAACTGAAATAAGCCCCTGAAAAATAGGGGGGGGGGGGAGGGTATGTGTGTGTGTGCATCACGTATTTGAATCCACGTGCCCTCTTGGTCTACTACATGTAGGGGGATTTTCTCCGGCGGTGGTGCCCCCCCACCAAAAAATGCAGCAGCTGCACGCACCTTGCTCCTAATTCTACTGCACAAATGTGCTGGCTTCGCTGTATGCCATAGGGAGCGGCGACTTACAGTTGCACAAAACGGCTCATCGGTGATTGTTCGTCAATCTCAGGCGCGCAAGAAGTAGCAGACAACGAGGAACAGTATCATGGGAAAATGCCAGTTTCAAGCAACCCTGCGGTCTGTATCTTAGTAGGTCGTTGTAATCTTGTAAATACGTTATGACGCTACTGTGGGTACTCATTTTATCTTTTATTTATTTTTTATTTTTCACATGTACAGTATGTGGCCCGCAGCCCGCAGACTCTGGGAGAGGCTTGCCTCGAAACTTTAACCAGTCAACGGACATGCTGACACGATTGTAGTACTGTAGCAAATATATACGGATGGATACTCAACAGCAAGCACCTGCTGATGCACAATCCCAAGACAAGGGCTCGTTCTTATATAGGTTGAACAAGGAACACAGCAGGAGGAACAGGGAAGCAACTGCTAAAATAATTGCCGTGTGGGAACGCATGTCTTCATGGTTGGCGGAATCCCTGCTGCTGCTGCAGAGTTGCTGCTACACTGCTGTAGTACACCGCGCACGAAAAAACTGCTGTTGTTCAATAAGCCATCATGTCTTAATCACATCCCCACAAGTCGGTCTCGAGAGAGACT